AAGGGAGAGAGGGGGGGGAGGGAGGGAGAGAGAGAGGGAGAGAGAAATGACATCGGGAGGCCACTCACCGAATAAATCCCAGCATGCACTGGGGGTGCTCCTTGGTTAGGCCGTACCGTTGCAGAATGAATTGAAGGGTCTGCGAGGTGTGGCCGATTCCCTTCAAATACTGATAATACAGCTTCTTCCAAGGAATGAACTGAAAAGCCAGAGCAAAACAATCGGATATTATGACTTGGGGGGCTTCTTACTTATTTATTTTTTTTAATCCAGCCTTTATTATTTTTATACGCATTGAATCGAGCTGTTCGCTGTGGACGGCATGCATTTTCCGCTTTAGGGAAACCAACCTATCAAAAGCACCTCTGGTGCGGGATCCACAAAATTAAGAATTAAAAAAGTTTTTGGGACTCATAAAAAGCAAGGCCAAAATTTTAATCAACCACCCCCCACCCACCCCCCAAAAATGGGGGAGGAGGCAGGAAAAATTACCCTTGATTTGACTTGGATCAGAGGAAGTGTGCTACACTACAGAACATGGCCCAACTCCCCAAGAATTCATCGGTGGCACCATTGCTGAATTAACCATTTAGCAAAGCATTGCTAGAAGGTATTTCTTAGGTCAGTATTTTTTAAACCTGGCAAATTTAAGACCCATGGACTTCAATAGAATAGAATAGAATTCTTTCTTGGCCAAGTGTGATCGTACACACAAGGAATTTGTCTTGGTGCAAATGCTCTCAGTGTGCATAAAAGAAAAGAGACATCCATCAAGAGTCAAGAATCATCAGGTGCAACACTTCATAATAGTCATAGGGTACAATCAGCAATCAAATCATACTAGGAATGAGTCCATATAAATCGTAAGGATACAAGTGATAAAGTTACCGTCATACAGTCCCAAGTGGGAGGGGATGGGTGATAAGGAGTGATGAGTAGATTAATAGTAATAGTAGTGCCGATTTTGTAAGTAGTTGGACAGTGTGGAGGAAATTATTGATTTAAGCAAAGTGATGGTGTTCAGGAAAAAACTCCCCTTGTGTCTAGTTGTTCTGGTCTGCAGGGCTCTTATAGCGTTGTTTTGAGGGTGGGAGTTGAAACAGTTTTTGTCCAGGATGTGAGGGGTCTGTAAATATTTTCACAGCCCTCTTTTTGCAGTATACAACTTTCAGAACACAACTTCCAGAATCCCCAGCCAGCATGTTTCACGACCAAAATAGTTAGTATTTTCAACCCATTAGTGCTAGAATGGGTTCGTGTTTTACAAGGAGGAGGAGGAGGAGGAGGAGGAGGAGGAGGAGGTTATTCAAATCCCAGAATTCTGGAAGTTGAAATCCATCCGTGTTAAACTAGCCAAGCTTGAAATAAACTTATAGTATAAAACTGATGTTACATAGTTGGGTCATGAAACATCTGCAAGAAAGCCACCAAGCTCAGAGAGCACCCAGGACCCCCACAGCTCAACCCTGAGCTATCATATTGTCTTCTATACCCTCTTCTCTGTTTGCTCTTAAAGTTGGCATTCCAAGACTTTGAGAGAGTCAACGGTGAGTCTAACTCTGCCACCTGCCAGGGAAGACTCCAAAGTATTTCTGATAACTTTGGTTCGTTGCTTACTTATGTCAAACACCAGATGCCATAATTTAGAGTTCAAATGATTCATCGCTTGTATTTTTTTATGTACACTGAGGACTCTGGCACTGAAGACAAATTCCTTGTGTGTCCAATCACACTTGGCCAATAAAGAATTCTATTTTTAATTCTAATTCCATTCCATTCCATTCTATATTCCAATAGTATTCCGTTCTATTTTCTACTCTATTCTGTTCTGTTCTATTTTCTATTCTATTTTCTATTCTGTTTTGTTCTATTTTCTATTCTATTCTATTTTCTATTCTATTTTCTACTAGCTCGATACCCATGATTTGCTATTAAACTATGTGGTCGGGCTTAGTTTTTGGGGAGGAAAATAAGGGGAGAAAATTCTGCCTCTGCCAAAAGTATCCGTTAGTATTCATCTGGCTAGCGTCATGTCAGTATGTGAAAAAGTTGAGGGCTGTTTGGAAAGTGAAATAGTATTTGCTGTGTGAGCAAGAAGGAGACAGCAAGGAGCCTGGGCGTGGCTTAGCTCAACTGTTCTGTCCTAAAGCTGCTTGCTGCTCTGAAACTAAAACTGAAACTCCTCTGCTTGTGTTTTGTATTTGGAAGAGATTTCTTTTTTTCAGGTGGGGAGGGGGAGTCAAACTCCTTAACATCAGAGCATGTTAATAATAATAATATAGGAAATAGTCTAAATGCTCTGATGGTCATTTCGAAAAATCTTTTCTTAGTGAGCCCCTAGAAGCTAAGAGGAACCTATGTGCCAAATTTCAAGTTTGTAGGCTTTAGGGTTCTGGAGATTTTGTGATGATGCGTGAGGGGTATTTCACTTTTAGATAGATAGATTCAATTTTCTATTCTATTTTCTATTCTATTTTCTATTTATTCTCTATTCTATTCTAATTCTCTTCTCTCTATTCGATTCTATTTTCTATTCTATTCTACTCTATTTTCTATTTCTATTCTATTTTCTATTCTATTCTCTATTCCATTCTCAATAAAGATTCTATTCTATTCTATTCTATTCTAATTCTAACTCTCTTCTCCTCTCTATTCGATTCTATTTTCTATTCTATTCTATTTTTTATTCTATTCTACTCTATTTTCTATTCTGTTCTACTCTATTTTCTATTCTATTCTCTATTCTCTTCTCAATAAAGATTCTATTCTATTCTATTCTATTCTATTCTATTCCTATTCCTATTCCTATTCTAATCTTCTACTTGCAACCTAAAATATAGTTACCAAATGGAAAAGGTTTCCAAGCAGAAGAATGACCTTGACCATGATAATTAAATCATGGATGAAACCCTGCTAAGGGAGACCAAGGTCTGGCCCAGGTCCATTCCGCCATTCCTGAGGTAACACCATTCCTTACCTTCACGTCAGAGACGATACGCTTCCAACGCCGACACACCTGAGGGAGGTTTTGGAGGAGATCAGCCACAGGTAGCAGGACAAAGATCTCCTGAAGAATTTCATCAGGCAGTTTGTCCAGGGTTCCCCGAGGCACGTCATCCCCCGAGGTGGTTCCTAACAGCCCAAAGTGGACATCGGGAAGTGGATCCACCTCAATGTCTTGAACTTCCTCTGTGACAGTTCCATCACCCGAGCGCTCTTCAGGAAGCCTCACCAACCATGGTCTCCGTTCTTGGACCTCTTGGCCAGGGCGTCCGTCGAAGTCACTAGGTCCCCGGGAGAAACGTAACTGTTTCTTGGGGATCGCCGACACGTCCGTCCAATCGTCAAGAAGACTGCAAGAATCGTCCGAGTCGGACGCCGAGCCGTGAGCGAAATTCTCCAGAGGTTCTTCAACTTTGGCTTTGTGGCTCTCCGCCATGTTACTGGAGCATGGCGAGATGCGGGATCTACTCCTGAAGTAATCTGTGATGGTCCTTTGGTGGCCTGCAAACCCAACCGAGACGGAAAAGGAAGATAAATTTGTCAGAATATTCATTAACTGGCAGGGACATGGTAACAAGGTCAGCCAATGAATAGGCATAGCAACTTGACTCATGATGGCGAACCTATGGCAGGCAGAGCCACTTGTGCAGACATGCGAGTCACAGCCAAACTTACCTGCACTGTACATGCATTTGCCTCCCAGTTGATTTTTGGCCCATTTGAGGCTGTTTTCGCCCTCCCAGAGACTCGAACAAAGCCTCTGCAGCCTCAGGAGGCCAAAAAATGGGCCTTCCGGAAATAGCAGAAGTGCCCGTTTTCAGCCTATGGAGGGCCTCTGGAGCCTGGGGGAAACCATTTTTGCGCTCCTGGAGGCTCAAGGGAAGCCTCTGGAACCCCGGGAGGCCAAAAAACAGGCCCGTTTTGGCACTTCCGTTATTTCCGGAAGGCCTGTTTTTTGGCCTCCTGAGGCTGCAGAGGCTTCGACCTTGCCTCAAATGGGCTGAAAATCAGCTGGGAGGCACGCACATGCACAGTGCAGGTACGTTTGGCTGGGACTTGCATGTCTGCACAAATGGCTCTGCGTGCCACCTGTTCGCCATCATGGGAAAAAGACTGTTTGGAAACTGAAACTGGAAGGAGCCTGGGCATGGCTCTGTTTTAAGCTCTTGAGCTCTGAAGCTGCACAAAGCTGAAACCGTTCTCTGCTGTTCTCTCCCTCTGCTTGTCTTTTTGCCTGTAATTTTCGACCATGTTGGAAGAATCTGCTGTTGGTACTGCAAGTGTACTTCATGTGTTATTATGTACATAAAGAAGTTAATGAATCCGGCTGAATCTGTTATATGCGGGTGCTTTCTGGATTTGATTTTCTGCAATAATCTCTGATAAAATTACAGCAACTTCAAAGGACGGCTGCGCCCAGGCAGAAAAACAAGGTGGACAATGGAAGGCATCTGTACAGGTAGTCCTTGACTTACAACAGTTCCATTTAGTGACCGTTCGAAGTTACAACGGCACTGAAAAAAGGGAGTGTTTCTCACATTTGGGACCGTTGCAGCATCTCTACAGCTGTATGATCAAAATTCAGGTGCTTGGAAACTGACTCGTATTTATGACAGTCACAATGTCCTGGAGTCATGTTATCCCCTTTGGTGACCTGCTCTTGTGGCCTGCCAGCGGCCAGCAGAGCTGGGGGCAGATTCGGACAGGGGAGGACTATGGGCCAGTCTTGGAGTCTGGAGAAGGCTCTGCGTCAGAGGTAGAAATGGGGACAGGGCCGTCCAACAGTTATCAGCTGCCTTCGGAGTCGGATATCAGTGGGGAAGAAGAACAGCTGGAGCCTGTTCCCAGTGTGCGCATGCACAGAGCTGCGAGAAGAAGGGAACAGCTAAGGAACAAGGGTCGACTTGGAAGCAAAGCCACAAATGGACAGTGATTGGCCCCTCCCATAGGGAATAAAGAGGAGCGAAAGGGGAGTGGGGTTTGCAGGAGTCAATTAGTTCAAATCATTAGGGTGAAGATCCGTTCCTGACTTCTTGCCCAGTCATTGCTGCCACAGCGTGGCGTTCAGAAGATATCGGCCTGGCAACTCTCCATGCCTGATAAAGGTCTGTAATTGTAAAATCTCTTGAAAGACTGTTGGCCGGGACTTTGCTGCATTGTGAATGAGAGGAATTCACTTTAGCTCAAATCAAAGGGTTTTTTTTTCCGGGACGCGGAGTCCGCTTCGTGATTTTGGGAAACCCCTTCTGACGAAGCAAGGTCAATGGGGAAGCCGGATTTGCTGCACAACCGTGTTCCTAACGTAGCCACTGTAGTCATTCACTTAACAACGGGGACGAGGAAAGGTCGTAAAACGGGGCAAAATTAGCTTAATACCTGTCTCGCTGGGCTCAATTGAGGTCGTAAGTCAAAGACCACCTGTACTGCTACCTGTACTGCCCTCCACACCTCTGTTTTAAGCCTCCTCCCTGGTGACAGCACCGCAGGGTTGCTTATAAATGCTGCAACCTGGAAACCAGCAGCAGAGAAGATGCGTGTAAGACGCTTGGTTTTCTTGCACAAGACGTTTCATGACCCAACTATGGAACATCTTCAGTGCTACGTGAGAGGGGGGGTTGTGGAGGAGGAGGAGGAGGAGGAGGGAGAAGGAAAGGAGAAGTTAGGAGAGGAGAAGAGAGGAAAGGAAAGGAGAAAGGAAGGGGAGCAAAGGGAAAAGGAAAAGAAAGGAGAAAGGAAAACGGGAAGGGGAGGAAAAGGAAAGGCGAGAAAGGAAGGGAAGAGAAGGAGAAAGGAAGGGAAGAAGAAGGGAAGGGAAGGGAGGGAAAGGAAAGGAGAGGGACTGTGAGGTCCTTTGTTCTCTCAGAGTTTGATGGTTTTCTTGTAGATGTTCCATTACCGAACTAGGTAACATCATCAGTGCTACAAGGGAGTGGGGAGTAGGGTTTGTGGAGGGGGGGGGAAGGAGGAGG